ATAAATTGGTTCTCTATAATTGAAAATTAAAATGACTGTACATTTATTCAATTTGACATTAATGATTTTTACCCCTCAATAACTGCAGATATTTTAGATTAAACAAGTTTTTTACGTTTTTAAATATGTTTGAAATAAATCTTTTTAAACGTTTTATTAAAGTTATGCAAAACGCTTTTAAATTAAGTAACGAATTACAACTAATGATTGTTTAATAAATGAACAAATTTTACAAATTTATTAAAGTGTTGTATTTAATATTTTTAAAGTGTATAAACATTTATTTTTTCAAAAAAGCAGCAAAAAAAAATTGTTTGAAAAAATAACGTTTCTTTAAAATAGTAATTTTTAATAACTTCATGCTCTAATTAATGTCTAGCTAAAAAAACGTTTCCAACTCTTTTATTTGTAAAAATAGGAAAAAAATAATTAAATAAAATGTGCCTGCAATATAAATAAAATAAACTGCCAACAAGCAATTTAATTTAATTTTAATTTGAGCATTACAACTTTATTAATAAGCATAACAACTTTATTTCCATTAATCAACAAAATACATGCTTATGTAAGTAAATAAAGTTATTTTATATTCTTGTATAATTCACATAAAATCTGTAAAAGCTAGTGGTTGCAAAAGGTTTTGAACTTATTCATAAAAGTTACTTAAAAAAAATCTTTCTAAAATTAATACTTTAAAAGATTTTTAGTAAGATACATGAAAATAGTTTCAAACGTTTAAATTTATCATGAAAAATACATGCCCACATAAAAAAATTAAATATAACATTTTTTATTAATTTACACACACGTCTATGTAAGCAATCATTAAATTAATTATATAGTTTTATTTTAAAGCCTTCGCATAAAATAAAAACTTTAGGAAAGATCAACAAATAAAAGTTATTCATAATGTAACACTTTTTATTGCGTTTAAAATGTTAAAACATCAAAATAGCTGTGGTCAAAAAAAAACTATTAGCGTAATCAGTTACAGAGTGCGATTGCACGCCATTTCTGTCCAAGCCTGATACAGCAGAAATGCTGCTGGAGCGGAGCAGATGGAATACTGCCGATGGAGCAGAAATTTGTGAATTTGTTGGACTATATATTTTAGATTTATTAAGTAAATTAATCAATATAAATGATTTAGGCCTTTATTAAGACGATGATTTAATAGTAATGCATAAAAAATCTGGTCCACAGCTCGATAAAATTAGAAAAGATATTATAAAATTTTTTTTTAATGTTGGCTTTCTAATTGAAATAAACATAAATTTAAAAATTGTGAACTTTCTTGGCGTCACATTTAACCTCCCTGAAAATTCATATAAGTATTTTAAAAAACCAAACAATGAATTATTGTATAATAATATTAACTTTAATCATCCACCCCAAATTCTAAAACAAGTTAATTGTTGTTTACTTTTAGCTAATAATAAATATATCATTTGTAATGCAAGTAATGTTATGCATACTATATATGTTATGTATGATCAGAAAAATTTTTAAAAATTTGTTATATTTGAATTTAACTTCAACACAAGTTTTGTTTACTATATAACCAAGTTTTCTACCATTAGGAATGCCTGACTTTTGTTTGCAACATTTTGAATAGCCAATGGCTTTTGTTGGATAGTATGATTTCATTTTCTTACCATCAATCTTGGTGCAATTGAATTATAACTTATTACCGACTCAGATTCTTTGTTTTGTCCTTATGTTTTTCATTGTGATAAAGTGTCTTGCTATGTCAGCCAAACTTAAATTATGGCACAATAAAAAATTAAAAGTGAAAATAGATTATTAAATCTTTTTGGTTTGACATTAATTGATATTTCTGCCCAAGACAGTATTGGAAATTATGTTCTGTTTCTTTTTATTGTTTTTTATTGTGAAAAAGTTGCAATCTGCCCATTCAGCCGTGTTTAGCAAAGTATTTTTTTTCATCAATGTTGCTATACAAAATTGAGTTTCGTATTCTATTACTTCATTTGATTTCTCATATATATATATATATATATATATATATATATATATATATATATATATATATATATATATATATATATATATATATATATATATATATAAAGGGACTGTTTTAGACAGTTTTCAACAGCGCCGACTGCATTTAGGCGCTGCCCAAATTAAGGAATTTTTTTTCACATTTTTTAAAGCAAATGTAATTTTTTTTTGTAAAAAAAAGCCAATATTTGGCATATTTTCGCTATATTTCTCCTGGGCAAAGGGGACCGATGCCCAAATTTTTTTCCTAGAATAGCCCCTGATATACATATATATATATATAAAAATAAATATATATATATATATATATATATATATATATATATATATTCATATATTTATATATATATATATATATATATATATTCATATATTTATATATTTATATATATATATATATATATATATATATATATATATATATATATATATATATATATATATATATATATGTATATATATACATATATATATATATATATATATATATATATATATAAATATATATATATATATATAAATAAATATATATATATATATAATATATATTCATATATTTATATATATATATATATATATATATATATATATATATATATATATATGTATATATATGTATATATATATGTATATATATATATATATATATATATATATATATATATATATATATATATATATATATATATATATATATATATACATATAAACACACACACACATATAACAAGCACTTTGTCCACAAAAAGTATATTTCCAAGTAAAACATTAATTTAATAAATTGTTTTCTAATAAATTAAACAGTTATAATGATAAAATATTCACAATATATCGAAAATAATATTATTTATATTTTTATTTACAGGTAGCAGAAAAAAAAAGTATTAATGCATGAGCTTGACCATGTATTTGTCAATTTAAAAAAATTTGAAAAAAATATCTGGAGTTCGATAAATATTTTATCAATATAACTGTTTAATTTATTATAAAACAATTTATTAAAATAACGTTTTACTTTGAAAAATATTTTTGTATTTTTATTAAATGCTATATAGTATACACTTTATATAAACTAAATATTTAAATTTAGTAATTATTTAAAACTTTAATTAAAGCGTGTTTGTGAAAAAATAGATCTAAATTATGTGTGCAAAATTTATTTTGTTATTTAAGTAAATTTTAATGAGTGATTTAACTTTTTGTTTATTGTATATCATTAAACAGCATTTAATAATGATAAAATAAAAACAGTATAAAAGTTATAACTGTATATAGTATAAATATATTAAATATTTGAATTTAGTAAATAATGAAATCTTTAATTTAAATCTTTTTTTAAAAAGTCTATCAGAGTATGGCGATAAAAAAATAATGCTAAACAAACTCAAAGTTAGAAAGCAACAAAACAAGTTTACAAAATTCAAATTGAATTTGTTCTTTTTAAGTAATTGAATATTAACTGAAAAAGTAGTTCATTTTTAACAACTTTTAAATAAATAGTTCAAAGTGAGTTCAAAGTTTAAATAAAGTTCATTCCTGGTAAGTTTAACATCAGTTAACTCGATCTTTTGTTATCTTGAACTGTTTTATTTGGTCCCTTAAAATTTTCCAATTGATTACTATTAAAATTATTATTACTATTAAAAGTCGAACCTCTGATAACTTGAACTTTGTTAAGTTGAACTATCTTTTTGTTCTCTTTCAGCAAATTTCTTTGGATAAATCCAACTTATTGTATGGAAAATTAAGAAATCAAAATAATTTAATTTTTTTTTCATTCAATACAAAACATAAATAACAGTAGCCTAATATTTTCCTAATTTCTTCATAGTATTTAAATCTAAATAGGATAGATCGTTATCAGTTTTGAAATAATGCTATAATTATATATGCTTTTTTGAGTGGTATCTTTTGAGTGTACGGCAAAAATACAATACATAACTTCTTTCACTTAAACATTTTACTCACTTTTATTAGTATAATGAAAAAAAAAAATCATTTTAACTGGAACTAATATCATTTTATTTTCATTATTAAATAATAATTGCTAAACCTTTTGCACATATTACTTTCAAAACATATACTATTTTAAATTTTATTTATATAGTGCATTGATTAAACTTAATATCTTTGAAAAAATTGTCATTTCTTTACACACATCAAGAATATAGATGTTGACCACTTTAAGGCAAAGTATTTATTATAATGTTCTGGGTTATCTCTTAATCCAGAACAAGTACTAAATGTTAGTGGTTATGGTTTATTTAACAACACTGCTAAGAGTTTAATGTTTAAAAACTTACTATTCAATTAGCACAGTTATTTGAAATAAATCAATCCAACTATATTTGATAAAAAGTAGAAGTTGTGTTGCTATGTCACAATCACAAGAAAAAACTTATCACAAACTTCATAATATAGTTAAATATAATTTAAATAAGCTCAACTTCCACAAACTTAAAGTAACACTAAAAATACAAAATAGCTTTCAAATCAGAATAGAAAAGAATTACAGTGGTTTAAAAAACAACACACTAGAGAGAAACATCTGAACAAATTTATCAGCTCTATTAACAATAAATCCTTCAAATGTTGAATCAAAATCTGGCATAGTTTGTACCAAAATAAAGTCCAGTTTGAATGCTAACTATTTTTTAAGGTCTTTAAAATTTATGTGTTAAAAATTTTCTTGCATTATACTACAAGGAAGAATACAATGCAAAAGAATGACATTGGGATTCTATTTTTATGAATTAATTTTGAAAATATTCAATTTTCATAATTATATATGTGTATATATATACATATGTACATATATATATATATATATATATATATATATATATATATATATATATATATATATATATATATATATATATATATATATATATATATATATATATATATGATTATGAAAATTTTTTATGATTGATATAAATTTTCACATTGATTTATGATTTTTATGGAATCAGGTTGATTACTTTGATGAATATCGAATTGAAGGAAAAGATGAGAAAAACGAAATTTATCTGGAAATTAATAATGAAAATGTTTTACGTGCAATGAGATCTGGTCACACTGCCCAGTTTATTAAAATCAAGCTTACAAAAAAACAAACACCCTGCTTGACATTTGAAATCACTTTGGTAAGTTAGATTAGTTGTGTAAGATATGCAAGAGTAATGATTTTCTATTATTAAGCATGTTTATTATCAAATTTAATTACTGTATAGTTTGTATCATTTTTATATATATAGTCAATAAATATAATAGCCAAGTATAGTTCAACAGTTAAACAAATAATTGTTTAGTATAGATATTTTCACTCAAAATTATTGCTTTTAACTCAAAGATGATTTCAAAGCTAAAGTTTAATTCAGAGTTACATTAAACTTTTGCATAAATTTAAACTTTTTTCGCTTCAAAGACTAATATGTTTAAAACATCAAAATTGAAAGTGGAGTTTTTTGTGTCTTTAAATTGCTAATTTATCTTGTTTTTTAATGCAAAAAAAAAAAGAATTTAAAATAACACCTGTATCATAAAATAAATGGCTATAAACTTCAAAAAAAACTTAAACATGTTTAAAAAATTGATTTTTAGTATGTACATAGAATAAAATATGCAAAAACTCAAATAAAAAGTTTTTTTATCACAAGACCATATCTTCGAATTTGGTTAGGTCTGGTATTGATACCTTATACCAGCTTTTGTATAGCATTTAGTTCAAGTCTATTGGCACAATAATGAATTTGGCACTCTAGGCTTGATTTATCATTTGTAGACCATCTCTCCTTGTACACATTTGCTTAAACATTGCCCAAAAATCTTCTATAGCCCGAGCTTCTGGCAAGTTTCCTGAATTGTCTTTTTTATTTTGAACAAATAGTATCTTCTGGGTTTTCAGCCATTTTGTTACTAAATTAGTATGTGAGATGTTGTCAAATTAATCAAAAGATGTACTCTGGTATCTCGATAATATCAATAAAAGATTTTAAGCGCTTTTGTCACAATGTCTGGTGTCAAATTTTGATCATTTGAATAATATTTATTATTGCCAGCCAGTCACTATATGGTCACAATTTCTTAAATAAACACATTTTCCCCAAAACTTCTGTTCAGGAGTTCTACCCAGTCTTTTTTTGCTTTTAAAACAAAAAATAGTCTTATTAAAGCAGTATTTGTTTAATGGTGCTTTTGTTACAATCAAACCTTTTAGCTGCCTTTAAAAGTGAAACACATCCTTGATGGTTAAATATTAAAGTAAAGTCTTCTTCTACTTCCAGCTTTTCAATGGTTTATTTTGATTGTAACCGTTCATATATCTATAAATTGCAGCTTTTGAGTAGCCTTCCATTTTAAAATGGCTCCAAACCACATGATCTCTTTCTTAATTTTGTTGATTTGGCATTTTAAATTGTTGTCTAAACAGAAAATAATCAAATAATTTATATACTAGTTGATAAAGGAAGGATAGAACTTACATTAGATGCCAATTACTAATTATTTTATCAAACTTACTAATTAATTATCTCTAATTAAAGCTAGTCTCAAATTTTATGGCAAAGGTGTTTGATTGGAAATACAATCATAACTATTTTTAAAATATTATAAATTTACAATCATTAATGATATTGTAAATCAAGTAAAGCATGTCAATAAAACAAGTATTCATAACCATTATAAAAATTTTGTATATATTTTACATAAAAAATTTTTTTTCATTTTATTAAATGTAGTACTCATATAATCATATAGTATATATAGCATATATAATAGACATATACAATATGTAGTAAACAGTTAGTATTTAATTAAAGTATTCTTTATTTCTCCATATAGAAATTATTCTATATTCTGAAATGTTAGACCTTTTTGTTGTTGTTTAAAAATCTAAAAAGATTTTACACTTTTAAAACATGTTTTTAGAAATGAAAAAGAAAGATAAGTGGATATGCTTATTGATCATTGCTTAATAATTAACTACAATAATTTCATTGTATTCAATAGTCCTCTCTTACTGCCCACACGCGCAATGTCATCCATGATGTTCCTGTTGCAGTAATTCCTACGAGGTACTGGGACGATTTTAAGAAACCAACTTTGCCCAACTATAATGTAAAATTATAGTAATTTATTTCTGTTTAATTGTGTTGATGTTTTTTTGTTTGTGTTTTGATGCTTTTATGTTTGTGTTTTGATGTTTTTTTGTTTGTGTTTTGATATTTTTTGTTTGTGTTTTGATGTTTGGTTTTGTTGCTTGTTTTAATGTTAGTTTTAAGTTGTTTTTTTTTAGTTTTTGTTTTTTTTTTCAGATTAAGATTCATACGCCAAACCTTAAAATAATGAAGAGTGTTGTTGAAAGAATGAAAAACATCAGCGGCTTTATGGTATTTCTTTTTAGGCTTATTTGACACAGTCGATTTGATATGAAATTAAGAGTTTACTCTTTATTCCATAGTTCACAATTTTTTAGTTTTTTTTTTATACTTTAATATTAAATTTTTGATATTTTTATAAGGTGATTACAGCTTTGCAAAATGGAGAGCTGTGTTTCAAGGTTGAAACAGACGAAGTTACTGCGTCAACTTACTTTCAGAATATGCTAGTAGAACCCAATGAAAAGAGCACACTTGTAGAGCATGATATTGATGATACTGAATCTGTAGGAGCCCGTGTTGACATCCAAAAATTGTTATCATTTCTTCACGCTCAATTATTAAATGCCACAAAAACAATTTGCGCAATTGTTGATCAAAAAGCTGTACACATGTTCGTAGATTGCAATGATTTGCTATTTCAGTATTTTATCCCTTCTACAAATATATCTATTACATAGACAACTCCATAAAGCACATTATGAATCACCGAGATACTACCTTTACAAAACCTCTTCAACAATTAACTTTTTTTTCTGTTGGTAGACAGTCTTTTGTATTATTTGTGTTAAAATTGACTTTAATTGCAGTGTTTATTAAGTTATTTTTGATTGTTGTTGTTTTTTTCAACTTTTCTTAATAAATATTGTAAATGTGTTTACACGTCTTTTGAATAAATTTTTTTCTCGAGTTACTAAAAGTTCCTTAAGAGTTCTTAATCATACGTTTTTTCATAAGCTTCAGGTTATCAATTAAAACAAGAGAAATCAAATGAAATACTATTAGATTCGTGCGGAAATGTGTATACGATTTAATGTTTAACTGTTGATGTGTTAATAAGTTTAGATAAAAGGGCCGTCCGAAGGGTTTAATACAAAGGTATTTGCGCACTTAATAAAAAAAATACCTTGGTAATGTTAGTTTTTTTGATTTATTATAATTAACAAGTAGAGTAAAAACGGTTCGAATGAAATAGTTAAGAGTTTTATTTAATTTTGTTTTTTTACAGGAAAAAGATTTTTTTATTTTCTTTTTTTATAAGTTGTAGAGAATTTTAAGGTGTAGGGCAAAGTGCCCTAATAATGGCCGGGTCTTATTAAGAGCCAAATTTGAGTCCGATCTTATTGCGATCTTATTTATTTGGCGGAACATTTATCTGATTGATGAATATACTTTCGTGTTTCTTTAACATATCTGTTTTGTTCTAACGTTTATAAATGTTTCATTCAGTCTTGATTTTTAAAAATCTTATTTTTGTCAAAGATAGTTTAAGAAAATTTGTATACCGTCAGTAACAATATTTGGTTTTTTCAAGCAACTTTAAGACGCTTATAAAATATAATATTGTATATATGTATTATGCAATGTTTGTAAATATGTAATTTTATATTATATGTTTTTGTATATTTGATTTGATGCCCAATAAGCATACCAATGAAATTCTACCTAAATCATATCTAATTGTATTCAACAATTGTACATATGTATGCTTTGTCTGTTATATTAATTCACAGCATATTTTATACTTGTATGTGTATTTGTGACATCTGTGTATGTTATGATAATATATTTAGATTAGATGTATGTAAGGTCAACTATTGTAGTTAGTATACTCTATATTTTATTTAATTTGAGTAATTATAGGAAAAATGAAAAAAAATTACAAAAATAAAGAAAAGAAAATTAAAAAGAAACCTGCCTCTAGTTTTAATTCGAAGTTAAACCAGAAAGTAGCAAAAGTATAGAGATTTCAGTGGTCCAACAGCAACATTAAAAATGCAATTGCTGCTTTTCAAAATAACTTAATGTCAACTTACCAACGAGAAGCTGCAGTACAATTTAGTATTCCTTGGTCAAGGAATACTAAATGGTAAATATCTTGAGGGAGATTCTTTTGACAAGTCAAATTTTTGTGTGCTTTTTAAGAAAGCCTTGGATCACGCTTTCACAGCTGACAGTATTATTTCAGGGTTTCGATCATCTGACATTTATTCATATAATTCATCTGTTGTTCCAAGCGCAGCTTACTTACTTAATTCTGCCTATTCCATAGAGCAGCTACTTGGCAAAAATGATCTGCTTGAATCAAGTCTGCGCCTAATCAAAACTGACACTAGAATAACAAGATTCCGAAATTCAATAGAATAGGAAGTCGGTTTTGAAGTAGAATTAAACACAAATAAACAGAAAAGCATGTCTGAATGTATAATAGATAGTAATTTGGTAAACTTCAACAATAATACTGCTTCTTTGATATGGGATATGCATTTAACTCATAAGCAGTTTACAACTTTCTGTATTCAAAATGGCTACGACATCCCAGATAATTTGTATAAATTATTTAAAGAATTGCAAGCTGAAACAGATTTTATGTACAAATGCCATTTTAGAAACAGATGATTCTGTTTCAATGCCAAATGAATTCATAGTTCCTATTCCAATTTTAAATGAAACCAATTTTCAGCCAATTCTTGTTCCAAATGTAACAACTGGACAGTCAAGTTTTTTTTCCAATTAAACCACTCATCATTGTAATCAGATGCCAATTAAAGCCATTGTTCAGCCTAGTCTAACACCAATTATTTTGTGTACAAAGCATTCAACTAATGATAATGACAGTGATATTTTGCCTTATCCAAATATATATGCTACTAAGACAAAAATTGAAAAAAGGTTCAAAAATATTTTGTATTAACTTCTCAATTAGCAATGCAATCTAAACTTGATATCATCTTATTCAGAAAAAGACTCTCCTCAACATGATCAAAAAATATTTTCATAATTTGTATTCAATTAATAAATAGAAGCAAAAGAATAAACATTGTCGTAACTATTTCATTATATCCTCTATTATTATAACCTTATATCTTCAATTTTATTCTACCTGCTTCTACTCTACTTATTCTAATAAGTATTATAACATTATAATAATTTTATAAATATATGTTTTTGAATAAATAAAAACCTTTTTATTTATAAACTTTGGTATATAAAATTCGCCAAATGGTTTACAAACGACCATTGAACGCCTGAGGGAAAAAATGAAGTACATTAGAATAAAGTGAACTATTTTTTGAACGAAGCGTATTTTGACAGTTGTCATGACAAAAATAAAGATTAATAGAGGAAAATTTGAAAATAAATAAGACAGGTAATGCAAATAAAATAGTACTTAACAATAATAATAATAAACTTAAAAACAAAAAATTAACAACAATGTTAACAACAATGAAAGGCCTAAGAATGGAAACAAAAAACATTAGTGCTAATGTGTAAACATAAATTGTGTAGTGATTAAGTAATAAACATCTCCTCAGAGTCGCGTCTATTATTACTAGCGTTTCGATGTCGAAAAAAGATGTCTTTTAGATTTGCATAATCGATTAAAAAAAGACGTCTTAAAGACATCGTAAATAAGACTTTTAAAGACGTCTTTTCGACGTCTTTTTTACCACTGGGTTTGAAGTAAGAGGTAAGTATTTATTGATTTGAAGTAATGCAAATAAATTGTTTCTCAAACTTACACTAAAAAAAATTATGTTTTTAAATTTAATTTAATTATTATTTATAATTAATTCATTTAATATATTAAAAAAAAATCCAGGGAGATTTCTGTGTGTAGGAATAGAGGGTAGGCAAGAGAGGGGGAGAGGTAATAATTATTTAGAGGCCCCCTGGCTCTCCCTTGGACCATGACTGTAAATGTCTTAAACTAGTCAATAAATAACATTATTTGGTGTTTTATTCAAATAAATGTTTTAAAAAACATTTCAATTGCTTTTGTTACAAAATTAAAATTTTTCTGAAAAGACACAATTTTTAAACAATTTTAGAAAATTTCTCCAAGCCATTATGAAGATACTATATATTAAAGTTGCTTTGTAGTCGCTTCAGATAATCACTAAAATGCTGAGTCAGCATTATTTCAACTAATGATATCTCTAGAACCCATGTGTATTTTTAACTAAAATTTTTGCAGTTATTATTTTTTTAATTTAGATTGCAAATGACGTAAATATGAACGAATTCTGAGACGTAAGGGTATCGAAAATAATTTTTTTTTTTGATTATTTCATATGGAATTACCCTCGTCTTAAACTTTTGTTAAATTACTTTAAATTTTGGGTAATATATCACAAACCAAAAATCAACAAATATACGTGTTCATTTTTGATCACTGATAATTTTTGTTTTAAATTTAGAAGAAATTAACAGTCTTACTTTTTGGTTGCAGGCTTACATGAAACATTTTCTTCTTTTCTATTTTTATACGGCTGATCAGATTGTCTTAGATGCTTACTCAAATTCTGTGTGCTTGTTTTAGGTGCTTATTTTCTTTTCCTAGTTTTTTCTCAACGTAGAAGCAGACGACGAGCTGGTGCTAATTCAGGATTATCATCATGATAACCAAGAACAGTCAGATCAGTCTCTGAAAAAAAAAAAAAAAAAAGTATATATGTGTGTATGTGTGTGTGTGAACAATAACATATTTTACCTTGAAAGTTTTGTTGTTGTTTTTCTGTAAAAAAAACATCGGCTAGCATTTCAGCGTAAATAACTTTTGATTGGATAAAACGGAGATAGAACAAAATGCAATATCAGCCTAACCACTGATACGTATACGGAGGCTTCCAAAGATGGCAACGCACAGTGACTCAGAACAATCAAAAAACGGCAAAAATTAAATAAAAGTTGACATAAATCGTAAATAAATAATGTTATATATTAAAATAATAATTTTTAAGTCAAAGATTTCAAATTTGTTAAAAAAAAATTTTTTAACGCGCAGCTTCGACGCGTAAAATGCGCGCTTACGCGTGTTAAAGGTGACTATACGCGTACAAAAATTTTTTTCTTAGTTTTTAGAATCTTTAAGACAAACACATAATTTTGATATATTACTCTACTTGATATTTTTATAAAAATGGTTTTTAAAGGATGTTGAAACATAGAGAAAAAATACTGTATTTTTTTACATTAAATTTATTATTTACATTACAATTATTTTAAAAACTTCATCTGGTAACGGTTTTCCTCGATAGCTCTTATGTTTTCTAAAAGATATGCTTGGTATTTTTGGATCTGATCTTACTAGAAGGTAGTGCATCTGATTCATCATTGTGTTTAACCTTGATATTTTTGCCGTGTGCTAAGTCTAGAATTTCTTATCTGTTTATTTAAACTCTCTAGTGCATCTTCCGAATATACCCCGATTGACATAGGTAATTTATTTAATATAGAAGAACTATGCAGTAGCAGTTTATGTACAGTAGGAGGCATTACATACCATTTGTATAAACTCACTATACGTTTAGCTGTTTTAGAGCAGTATAAATCTAATTCATTGATATTAATAGGATATCCACAAGATATGGTTATGAGAATATTATGCAATCTTTTAATTATATCACAATCAACTTTAGTAATTTCAGAAAAAAACTTCACTATTTTTAAATGCTCTTCTGGCAGTGTTGCCGTCATTCGTGTTTCCAGACCCAGTTTTAGGCATATCAACGTATAGGCTTAACCGTTCTCTGAAGAGTACCTGAATCTCTTTTTTTTTAAGTCTACAGATAGTTTTTCGTCAATTGTTTTTGGCTTATACTTTTTA